GTACTGGGCGGGACAGAAACCCCAACAAGCCGGCCCCTCATGTTACAAAGAGGAAGAGAGGGGAGGGGAGAAGGGAGGAGAAGGAAGGAAAGGAAGGAAGGGAGGGAGGGAGGGAGGAAGGAAGGAAGGAAGGAAAGAAAGGTGTTGTTTTTTCCCCACACATGAACTGAAGGATTGAGTTTGGAACTTTGGATGTGAGCTGGAGCCCACAGAGGATGCATGTTCTACATTATGATGGATTGATTGTCTTATTATGGAAACAGAATGGGATACGAGCATTTAGTGGATGGGTCCAGGGGTCACAGATATTACCTGTGCCTTCCAACAGAAGTCCAGAATTGAGCTCCAATTTACACACCAATCACTTCCATGTTTCTTCCCTCATTTCCGTATCTGTGTTTATCTCATTCATTTCTGCATCTTGGCGGCTAGACCTAGGACTAGAATTCAATTTTGTATGTGTAAATACCTCTCTGGGAAGGGAAGTAGATTTCTCCAGTGGACTGGGAGTAGGTAGGGTTGTGAACAGGAGGAATCAGGTGTGTGTTGGGGGGGGGTATTGGGAGAAACAGCTGGAATTGAAGGCATTTCAGGAACCAGGTAGCAATCTAGTGCAGAGTAACCCTAGCAAAAAATTCCTAGTAATGGGGGACATGGAGCCTGAACCGGCCATCTTTTGTAACGAAACAAGGTTTCAAGTGGAGGGATTATGACACCAATCCAGCTACAAAACCTGTGACCTGGGACCAGAACCTAGCAGAATCCTCATCAGAGAGACCGGAGAGATTTTTCCCAGCAACTGATGGGGGCAGATGCAGAGTCTCACAGCCAAACATTAGGCAGAGCTCAGGGAGTCCTGTGGAGGAGGGGGAGCAAGCACTGGAGGAAAGGTCAGGGAACATGGTCCACAGAATCAGTTAACAAGGGCTCGTGGGGACTCTCAGATATCAGGGAGCCTGTAGGGGTCTGACCTAGGTCCTCTGCATGTGTGTTATGGTCGAGTAGCTTCGTGTTCCTGTGGGATTCCTAGCATTGGGATCAAGGACTGACTGACTCTTTCGTCTGCCTACAGAACTCCCTTCCTCATACTGGGTGGCCTCATCCAGCCTTGATATGATGATATGTGCCTGGTCCATTGTAACTTGTTATGACATGTTTGATTGATGTCCCGGGGAGGCCTGCTCTTCTCTGAGAGGAGGCAAAGGAACATATCATCACTATGTAGCTCAAGAGATTTATATACTGGATTACAGTGGTGGGGTGCCTTGTGGGTGCTGGGGAATTGAACCTGGGTCCTTTGGAAGAGAAGTCAGGACTCTTAACTGTGAGCCATCTCTCCACCCTTTCTCCCCATTTTTGTTACCCAGAAAAGGGGAAGCCAGGGAAAGGGGAGGAGTGGCCCCCTTCTCCTGTTTCTACTGTACAATGACCTTCTAGTGCCATCTATTGGAAGAGACTAAAAAGCCAAGTAGTAAAAGCAGGCTAGTTTGTAAGGTCCTGTTTTCAGAGGTGATAATTTGATAATGGGCAGGGATGCTAGCTAACAAAGAGATAAAAGTGGTTTTCCCACTGTTTCTTGCCTTTACAAATATCCCCTGGAAAAGTCTCATATGATATGAAACAAAATTCCAAATGAAAATGAATGAATGAATGAATGAATGAATGAATAAATAAATAAATAAATAAATAAATAAATAAGGCGCACTGAGGGAGTTATCTCTCTCCTTTTACAGTGTGGGTCCCAGGGATCAAACTCAAGTAAGCCAGGCTTGGTGGCAAGCACCTTTACCCCCTGAGCCCTCTCACTAGCCCCACGAAGGCTGGTCTATTCCTCACAGTCCACTCAATTCTTGACTCCTGAGCCCACTCCAACCAGATACTCCATGACTTTGTGTTTATTTAATGCTTATTTTCAAGATCCTACTTTTTATAGATTTTATAGCAAAATAAACTTTACACAAACTCCAAATGTTTTGGCAAATATATCTATTAATCTTTTTTGTTTAATAGCATCTGGCTTGCCGGGCGGTGGTGGCACACACTGCCTTTTATCCCAGCACTCGGGAGACAGAGACAGATGGATCTCTGTGAGGCTGCCTGAACTACAGGAAGAGTTCCAGGACAGGCTCCAAAGCTACAAAGAAACCCTGTCTCATGCAAGAGCTTCTGCTGGTTAAAACACAGAACATCTCCAGCCTCCATACCTAGAGCTGCCTTGATCGGCTAGCTTCTAAAGCCCCTGGCCTCTCAGCACACCCCAAAGACCTCGGGCACTAAAGGGCGATCACTGCTGGTACCAGAAGAATGCCCCCAGACAGACTCACAATTTTGACACCAGTAGAGCAAATGGACCATGGCAGAAGACTGGCATCTATTGCTTTAAGGTCATTTAATCAATCCTCACCATCAGAACCAAGTCACCGACTCTTGGGACCCCAAACGCCCAAACATCAGGAGCAACCACCCAAGATCGCTTCATCCCACAAATCCCTCTCCTCTGGTTCCTTCTGTCGATGAGACTGGTGCCTGCCTCTGGTGGGGCCTTTTCCATCATGGCGGGTCCCCTTTCTGTGCTTGGACTTCTCAGTACCCGCTAATTCTGATGAGAACTTCCTTCTTCTGAGGCCCTCCTCGTCTTCGCGTGAAGCCCTCTCTCTGTGGTGTTTCCTCTTGGGCGACTCTTGCTCAGCACAGGCAGCTCCTCCCTGCACCTGGTGCCGTGGCATTTCCTTTCTGTCTTGATTCTGGTTCTTCTGATGATGGCTTAGAGATTCCAGTCTTGGTCTGCAGTGAGGTACCATGTTTTCCCCTGTCCACCATTCATAGGAAGTAGAGGATCTGGGATGCTCTCTGAATGAGGGCATTGAAGCTCCAGAGTTGACACGGTCTCTTTCTTGGTAAACAGAGTTCTCTGCCATATTTCTGAAGTTGACCCTTGGATGTAATCCTCTGGCTTTCTGCTTTCTAATGAAATCTTCAAGTTCTTGTTGAAAAGAGTCATTGATCTGAGGCTCTTCCATTACACTGGCCACGAACAGATTTCTCTAGAATGAAATGGGGGAAGACCTTCTGTTAGTGCATCACTTTGCCTACGACATTTTCTCTGTCCTAAGGGAGAGCGTTACGTCACACATCACACAGTAAACAGCAAGTAGTCACAGATGCTGGACAGGAGCACTTTTGACATCCTGGGGATGGGACAGTACAAGGGAGTAGGAAAAGGATTGCTCTTGTCGCTTTGTTTTAAAAAATGTAACTATGTGTGAGTATGGATTTGCACACAGCGCCCACAAGGCCAACGGTGTCAGATGCCCCTGGGGCGACAGGTGGTTGTGAGCCACCTTATGTAGGTGCTGGGAACCAAACTTAGGTCTTCTCCTCTTAACTGCCGAGCCATTTCTCAAGCCTGCTTTTTTTCTTTTTCAGTACGGTGACTTGGTCCTACAATGTAGCCTTAGCTGGCCCAGAACTCACTCTGTAGAATAGGCTGGAACTTGTGTTCCTTCCATCTCAGCCTCCCGAGAGCTGGGATTACAAGCACCTGCCATAGCTGGTGGGAAGTGAGTCTTAAATCACTGTAAATGTTAGGTTCTAGAAATATAAATAAAGGTAGAACATAGTAGTGTATAGCACGTGTATGTGTGTGCCCACTTGAGTGTGCATTCATTGTGTGCAGCTGTACGTGTGCGAACAGGCTAGAGGCTAAGTTCGGGTATTATTCCTCAGAAGCTTTGTTCTTTCACAGGCTCTCTCATTGGGAGCCAGGGCTTGCCGTTTAGGATTGGATGCCTGGTAGTGATCCCCAGGGATCTTCTGTCTCCGCCTCAGTACTGGGGTCATGCATGTGCCACAAATTTTCACGTGGGTGCTGGAGATTGAACGCAGCACTCACACTTGCCCTGGAAGCACTCTTTGGACTGAGCCGTCACCAGAGCTCAAGCGTAGCACATAGTAATGGGGAGACAGTTCACCAACGGAATGGTTGTGACAGGTTTGGGCTACAGAGGTAAGGTTGGTTTAGCAGTTCAAAGTACTGGCTGCTTTTACAGAGGGTTGTTCAGTTCCCTGCACCCACATGGCAGCTTACCACCATCTGTAGCTCCAGGGAATCCTATGCTCTTTTTTGGCCTCTGCAGGCACTGCACGCAGATTGTACATAGATAGGCACTCAAGCACACACACATACACAAAATAAAAATAAATCGTTTTTAAAAATCAGGTCATTTTAGACCTTTTTTTTTTTTTTTCGAGACAGGGTTTTTCTGTAGCTTTGGAACCTGTCATGGCACCTTCTCTGTATACCAGGCTGGCCTCAAACTCACAGAGATCTCCCTGCCATAAACACTATTCCATGTATAAGACCAAGACTTTGTGAGTGTGTGTGTAGTGTTGTTGTTGTTGAGACAGGATTTCTCTGTGGCTTTGAACCTTGTCCTGGAACTCATTCTGTAGAGCAGGTCAGCTTTAAACTCATTCACTTACCTCCGCCTCCCAAGTGCTGGGATTTAAGGCATGCAACACCACCTCCCAGCAAGATGAAGACATTTAAAAAAGAAAGCACAAAGAGACTATCGTGCAACTAAACTAAACTGAAATTATGCCAGGTTTGTTTTTTGCAGGCTGTTAGTTCCAGCACTTCAGAGGCAGAGGCAAGTGATCTTCATGAACTTGAGGCCAACATGGTCTATGCAGTAAATTACAGGCCAGCCAACGCTACATAATGAGACTGTGTTTTTTTTTTAAAACAACAACAACAACAACAAAACAGTAGAATGAGCACCAGCAGCATCCAATGGGCCACTGGTGGCCTATTCTGAAACCTTGATTTCATTTTACTCTATGGTTTTCTTTCCATTTAGCTAAGGTAATTTAATTCTAACAAAAAGCCTGTTGTAGAGGTGGTACCTATCATACAATCTAATCTGCTATTCTACCCTTCTGGGCTAATTGTTGCTCTATCATAGATAGAATTATAAATGCAACTCACTAAATGTGAAGTCAGATTTGCCATGTTGGCTTGAGATTTACTATCCCCCCCCAATATATATAGTTACATGCTATGTAACATTTTAGTCAAGGACAAAATTTATATATACAACGGAGGTCCCTAAGATTGTATTGCTGGGCCGGTGAGATGGTTCAGTAGGTAAAGGCACTTGCTGACAAGCCTGATGACCACAGTTCAATACTTGGGATCTACAAATTGTCCTCTGACCCTCACATGCCCTGTGGCATCGGTGTAAGTACACACACGTACACACACACGTACACACACACACACACACACACACACACACACACACACACAAAGATATACTACATTTTTTGAATGAAAATCTCCTTAAGGCAAAACAAAACAAAAAGACTGTGACCACACAGCTGTCTTACTTGGAATGCAGGCACTCCGGTCACTTAGCATTTCATAATATGGCCAGGCAGTGGTGGTGCACACCTTTAATCCCAGCACTCAGGAGGCAGAGGCAGGCGGATCTCTGAGTTTGAGGCCAGCCTGATCTAGAAGAGCTAGTGCCAGGAAAGGCTCCAAAGCTACACAGAGAAACCCTGTCTTGAAAAACCAAAAAACAAACAAAAAGCCACATTTCTTAATGTGTCATCCTTGTTGATAAGCAAAGCACAGCTATGTTAATATCCATTTTCTATTTCTATTTCACAGTGGGTGTATATAAGCAAGAGAGCTGCCTGGCACACTGGAACAGTTTTGAAATGTGATTTTATTTTAACCAAGTCTCTAAATTTAGGTTATCTGTGGTTTTCGGCCTGGTTAATGAAGCAACAGTGTTCTGGAGTGTTCTGGATACGCAGTGTGCCATGGATATAGGGTTCAAACCTAGGAGGCAGGCTCTGGGGCCAAGACCCTCATTCTTAGGAATGCCTGCCAGCCTAATTCTAAAGCAGATGTGGAAGCTGAAGTTCCCACCAGGGACTTAGGTCTTTCTCCTTTTCCACTGTCCTTCCCTATCCCCCCCCCCTTTTTTGTGAGAAAGGGTTTCAGGTAGGCCAGGGCTGACCTGTAACACTCTGTACTCAAAGATGGCCTTGAACTTCTGATCCTCCAGCCTTTGCCTCTCAAATCCTGAAGGAAGGTATGTGCCACCACCCTCTCTGGTTTATGTGGTGCTGGAGGGCAGACAAAGGCTTCGTGCTCACTACCACTGAGCTACACCCCCAGTCTTGGGTTTTATTTTGTCTGTGGAGGGATTTAAATTGAGTTCATATTTGGTTGAAGTAAAATGACTTTCACTGGCCTCAAACTGTTTCTTCAATGTGGAAAGACAAAGAGCGAACTTCTGACAGAGATACCCATGGTAGTAATGGGGAGGTGGTTAGTACCCTAGTGCTCTGTAAGGTGCTAGGGAGAAAGCCAGTGTCCACCCACAGGGGGAGGAAGCTCTCCAGAAGCACGGGTGTGGCTTGGCTTCACTTCCTGATCCTAGGCAAGCCTCTATGAGCAGGCCACACATCAAGATGTGACTTAGGAACCACTCTGTCCTGTACTCATGTGCCAACCTGCTTGATTGTCCTGTTTTCAGTACCTCAGCTCCTCTGGCAGGAGTGCCCTGTGGTGTGAGTCAAGCTGGCATTTTATAGTGTGCATCTGCTGCAGTTCCTCTGAGTCAGGCTTGACCTCGAGCACACCCAAGCTTCCAGTTTTGCTGAATAGGATAATAGCTGACCTTTGAGCCCACCCAAAAATGCAAAACAGGGGCTGGGGGTGTAGTATGGAGAACACGGGATGGCTATATTTAATCTCCAGCACTCCCTCCCCAGGCAGAGCAGTTCTGGTAACAGGAAAGGCCTGGGTTACCTTCTAGGGACGAGGAGAAGAGGAAGTCAGGGTGGTGACACTGGGTAGAACAACTGCCTGAAGAGTCCAAGAATAAGAAAATAAAAATGTAGATTCCAAAAATAAGAATGTAGAAATAAAAGAATATAAAGTTATAAGTCTAGGAGAATGAGAACAGACTATCAGCAGCTTTCTCAGCAGATCAAGGATCACTCATTCACAGTGAGCTATTTTCTCAGATGCTTGGGATGCTTAGGTCATTTTACAACTGGCTGTTTTATTTACAAGGCCAGAGCTTTTCCCTGAAATTGAGAGTAGTGTCCTGGCCAACCCTGATAAACGACAGATGTGAAGTGAGTTAATCTTTAGGAGACAGAGATATGTGACCTTTGGGCTAGACACTGTCTCCCTTATGAAAAACTGGCGCCACCAGAGGAGAGGCATAAGACTCCAATTTACACCTGGAGGTACCAGGAGACAGTGGACAAATACAACGGTTTAATTGATGAGCTCTGATAATGGAAGTTGTAAAGTATGGCAGTCAGTATCTGAGTTTTACCTTGAAATAGTGTGAAAAGCTTTCTGCTATCTCCTAAATTCTCAGCCTAAGAACCAGTTAATCCTAATTTATTAACCTTCTAGTAAGTATTACTAGCAGTCCCTTTCTGACTAATTGCTAAAGGCATCTGTTTTCTCGCAATTAGTGACCTTCGTTGTAATCTCCTCTGAAACTTATTTCACGATGGCTGCCTAGTTACCCATTGACATAAGCACTCACTCCCCTCTTTAGGGTCTCTGCTGACCAACCCAAGGGTCAGGGCAAGGTTGTAAAAATTCCTTTGTTGGGGCTGGAGAGATGGTTCAGTGGTTAAGAGCATTGCCTGGTCTTCTAAAGGTCCTGAGTTCAATTCCCAGCAACCACATGGTGGCTCACAACCATCTCTAATGAGGTCTGGTGCCCTCTTCTGGCCTCAGACATACATACAGACAGATTATTGTGTACATAATAAATAAATAGATATTTTTTTTTAAAAAAGCCTTTAAAAAATTCCTTTGTTCAGAGCTAATGCTTGGTGTCCCTACTATAAAAGGTGGGTTCGGAAACCAGCCTTTTGCCACAGCCTAACAAATACCATCTCTGGCTGTGGTCTCATCTAGCTGATAAGCTTCTGTGCCCCACAGTGTTTTATTTTTTATTTTTTAAGTTTGTTTCTGGTTTTCCTAGGATCTGGTTTCTGGAATAAA